CAAGGATGTCAAGCACACACACAGGCTCACACACATATGTACATAGATGTGTATAAGTATTTAAATGGAAGTATGCGAGTACTGTTCTTCAACAGCTTATAGACTTCAGCAATGCACATGTTTCGCTAATACCTCTTGAATCCCATTCAACAAATAATCCCAAGTACTATACACAATAATAACAAAGAAAAGCGGCTACTTGAATCAAGTACAAAATGCGTAGCTGCCATCTAATACGCAATTTATATTCGACAGATTGATTTTGATGTTTTCATCTTTTAGTTGTGTCTTTTGATTTCACTCAAAAATCTAAAAACTGAACATGTCTTGGCCGAAATGATGAGTCGGGCGTAAAGTGCCTACAAAATGGAGGCCAATAAAGGCGTCGATAAAATGTTGGTAAATATTTAAAAGGCATATTGTCGTCCCCTTTACCCAGCTTCCATCTCTTTGTACACCATACTCCATGTTCTCTACCCTTGCGCCTTTGGATGGTGCGTGTTTGTCGCTGCTTAGGAAACGACAAACACGAAATTCATAAGGCAAACAAAATGAAATGTCGGTCAGCAGCTGCTCAGGATGTGAACTCGGGGGAACTTTGGGTTAACTTCTGGGGCAGCACGACAATGCCCCTTAGCATACTTTCGGGCTGACTGCTGAATGGCTATAAAAAAAACATAAAAAAAAAAACAAAAGAAAAACAGCGCCAAATGGAACAAGCAGAGGGCGGACGTGCAACGAGCGAGAGGCAACCCGACTAAACGAATAACAGAACATATGTCATTTTTACGCTGAGAAAAAAATATATTGCTCTAGCCGGGAGACTACTATACTACTATACTTTACATACAGTATATTAAATCGATTACAACAGACAGTTCGTCTAGGCGAGATCGGCTTGCCTGCTGGTGTTGATACAAAATATATATGCTTTATGGGGGCAGAGATTTTTTCATTTGTCTGTTGCACATATTTGCATATCATAATATCCCTTTTTACCCATTTTAAACAGTGACTACAAAAACAGAATATTAAATTCCGTGGGTAATCTAGTCAATAATAAATTGCCAATGTGTCAGATCAATTGGCAGACTACCATCTTACATATGCATTTATACGATAATGTATGTGCGAACTATATCGCATTTTAAGATTTCAACACTATTTTTACACCTCTCATATATTAAATTGTTAGTGAACGACCTTTAGGCAGAAGCAGCCAGAATACCAACAATTTGATATACTTCATACAGAAAGAAAGGCTGAAGGCTGACTTGACCGCCTGAGCTATTTAAAAGTATACACATCAACTATTGTATTAGACTTAATAATACAATGGTACAATGTGCAATGGGTGCAGGGTATTATCCAGTCATGCCCTCTAGAGACCTATTTTGCATAAATTTTTAAAGGTATTTGCAGTCAGTTTCAATAATTGTAAAACGCAAATGAAACGCATCGTTTCGCTTGGCTGCCCATTTGTGGCATACACAAATCGATGGCGACACAAAAATTTTACACTCAACCTGCTCCACTAGTTGAGGATACTACAGCCACAAAAACCACAATGGCAATAGCAACAATAACTTGACATCGATTCACTCGACTAAAGCCTTTGCCCGGTCTTTAAGTGTGTATGGCACTGTGATATGTGACAACCCTTGCGTCCTTTGGTATTTCTTTTGTTTGAGAATGCAACCCAGTACAAATCTTGAACTGTGCAAAGCTTTCAAATTTGTCCACACTCTCGTTGCTATAGTCTCGAAAAGGTAAAACTTGTGGGCCAATTCTGCACCTGCCATCAATGGACAAGATGGCCAGGCAGTGTTTAGCACTTAAACTGTGGTTAGCTCGCAGAAAATGCGAGATTATATTTGTATACATAGCTCTCTTGGAAACTATATGAAACTTGGAATATATACTCGCTCATGTCTGCATCGGATAAAGTATTTAGATTGATGATACCGCCCAAAAAGTAAATCGATAAACTCTTAAGCAAACTTTGAACTGAGATATATACTATAGAAGAATCTCTGGCAGAGCAACTGATAGTAGCTTATTCATTATTATTATATTATATTATTATTAACGGATATTATCGAACTTACAACATGTGCCAGTTTGTTGACATACAACTAAGTATATAGAATCAAATTGCCAAAATACCACAAAAGGAACGAAAGTAAACATTTTTCGTGTAAAGCTAATTTTTTCGCTTTTATTGATATTTTGCTCCCATAGCTCCTTCGCTCTCTTAAGTTCGAGATGTAAGGCGTTGTTTTCATTGATAAAAAGGAGGCGAATTTTGGCTTCGGCTGTTTCTATTGTCCATGTTATTGTTATTTTTCTGTTGTCTTTTGCACGTCCGACCTCTCGACATGTGTCCACGTGGCCGTGGCCCGTATGCTCACCGAAAAGGGCAAAAAGAAAACTTTTCCCATTTGCTTTTGGGCCTTTTGTCGAATTAGTTGATTCCCAAGTTTATTTTCAAGTCTTGGCTGTCTTGTCTTTAACTGACTTTACTAACTTCACAAAGCCCTTAGACCCACTTTACCCACATTTCACCATTTTCGTGTGAAAACCTCTTTAACTTTTGCCAAAAAGTATCTGGCGCAATGTTTTGCATTTAAATGTTGTGCCAATTTCAGAAGAGCTTTAGCAGTCAGTTGACTTCCGCCTGTGTTAATATATCTCCAACCTCCTCCCCCCTCACCATACTCACCCAATCAATTCTTCTTTTTCTCTCATATTATTTGATCATTTTTTTCCACACTCTCAGAACGCTTAGTGTCAAATAATTTTCCTAACAGCGACAAATCGCAGCAAATTATAAAATTCCAGTTCGCCATTGAGTACACCCTCCCCAAAAATGACCCAGCGAAAAGCGGTTCACAAAGTTGTTAACCCCCCTTCAACCATCTACTTTCCCCCTCTAATTCGAAAGAAAACTTTTTGGGCAATTTCTTTTTTTAGCTGAGCGCCAACAATTAATTGAAATTAACATATTTTTCTTTTATTTAAGGCAAGTTATCAGGCGACGCCCAACTGTTCAACCATTCCAACCCCAATATTTCTGAACCCCTCGTTCCACTCCCCTCACTTTTCAGCAGTCATGTTGAGTTTCATGCCTGAATTTCTCTGCAGCGCAAAGTTTTCATTTTTTGGCCAAGTTCTGTGCAAGTTCTTCTTACTCAGGCGTCAAGTTTTAAGCCAAACCAGCAAACCCTCAACTACCGCAACCAACCCTGCGATGGGGTCTGGGCATAGGGCTACCCAAAGCTATGATTGTATGGGCGTGGCAACAGTTACGCCTATTCGCCTGCCATAAGCTGACTTTAAACGGAACTGGTTCATGATGAGCATGCAATTCAAATTTGGTTAAGAATGCGAAACAAATCTTAGTTTCTGGTGACCCTAGATAAGCAGTAGTTTTTTTTTTTTTTTCATTGAGCAAATATAAAAATGAATCAATAAAATATAAATTTGAAATTTATTTGAGATAAGCGAGATTGAATTGAATATTCAATCAAAGAAGCTTTATGATTTTGCAGATCTTCATTTTATTCATGGCTTCTCCCTTTAAGTTTTCGTGTGCTTATCAAACTTGCCATTCAACCTTGAAACTCAACCTTATTAAATGAGCTAACAGCATTTAAAAAGATTCAGTTCAGATCGTTTGTACTTACAGTGTCTTGCAACCGTCTCAAACGTTAACAAAATTGCTAAAAATATCGTGCATTCTTCACTCATAAATTGACACACCCACTTCAAGTTTCGAAACTTGGCACATTTAACTAGCGGCATTGGGACTTGAATCGCTTGAGTACTTATACGTCCTGCTTTTACAAAGGTGTTTTTTGTCATCCTCACGACCAGATGGCTTCCTTCGTGATGGACTCTGAAGGTGGCGGTGCAAACGAGAGGTCCCAGTACTCACTCCCAGTAGAGTCTCTGGTCTCGTCTCTCATAATGTGGACATTGCTCGATTCCCCAGTTGCTTCAGTTGCTGTGCTCGGAGCTCTGCTGCCGTCTTTATATTTGCTATTTAGTTTGTGTTATTGTTTGCATTGCTGTTGCTTCTTTTGCTGGCCTTTAGAAAAAATTATACAAAACTTCTTACTTAGTGCGCTCGGCGATGAACAATTACGAGGTCACCGCCGCATATGATGTGGCTGGGAATGTGGGGGCCAGCCAAGCAGTGCCCATTGCGACTGCTGCTTAATATGTGCGCGGTTGGGTGGTTGGGTGGTTGGGCGGGTGGGCAAACGTGGCGTGGTGGCTGCAAATAAATAATGTGTTCGTAATAAGCGTGCGCTCTGAACGCTGAGTAGGCTGATTTGCCTTATAAACGATGCTAAGAAGCAGCCTGACAGGGGGCGGACGGGTAGTAAGAACAGCGAATCAGGTCAAGGCATTAAGTCCACACCAAGCAGCCAATGATTCAATTAATGTATAAATCACTTAATGCTATAACTTTTTGAAAACTCAATTTGTAGTAGAGAGCATTCACACAATTATAAAACAGCATCGATTTGAGGCCGTTTGCTGGGCAAGTTAAATTAAGTGAATCACGAAAACTACCTTAAATGAATTAAATGAAATGTTCTACCTGTTTATAGTTGAATAGATGTACACTCAAAGAGAAGCAACAAGCATTCATTCCAATTTTACACAATTCCTTGCATACATTCTACGCTTAAACAGTTTTATTATATGCTAAAACTGATTATCATCATTAGATGCATCAAAGGTGCGTTTTGTAAATTTGTTTTAAGTTGGGCTTAAATCGCTTCTAACTCAAAGACTCATCGACGTTGTCTTTAAATAGTTTTATAAGCCGTTAAAAGTTCGGATTGCTGACCTGCAACTTTTCAAATTGATTTTAAACACAATGCATACAAAATGATTGCCGCCTAAAAATATACAATGGATTTTCTTTGCAAAAAAAAAAAAAAAAAAATCGTTCAACTTTTGTTAAAGCCGGTGAAACTGAAACTTACCGTTCTTGATAAGCCGTTGAACGCGATAATTACGAGATGCTCGTGTTCAGCCCTTCTATTTGGAACCCCGCAGTGATTGGTGTTGAGGCCTTAGACTTTTGTGAACACGCCCTTCGACGGAGCACTGTGCGCTGAGTGAACTTTCGGCATTTCTGTGGAATTCAATTTCAAAGCTATATCATTTTCATTTAATTTCACGCTTTCAATTTGCCAACCGAAGCACCCACACCCACACACACACACACACACATACATACACACACACAACTAAAACTAACACCATGACGTAGGTTCGAGCGGATTGTAAGGACGCCGTATCCCTTTTGATTTGCTCGCCCCATTTGCTACCGTGCAATCCTATTGCCTCCACATTTTTGTGTGCTCTACACACGTGTGTATACGTGTCTATATATATATATGTATATATTTGTGTGTGTGTGTGTGTGTGTGTGTGTGCTTCTCGTTGACCTCGTCAGTGGCTCGCGGACATGTCAAAGGTATGCCATAATAGTTTTTTTCACCTATTGTCTGTAAAATGAAACCGTAACGGGTTCTGCGTTATCCTAGTTCGCATTTTCACCATTTTTTTATTTCAATAAAATCAGATGGTGTCGAAAGTCAGTTTGTTATTCTTATTTTATCGAGCATGCCCCGTTTCAGCAATTAATGAAAAGGATCGAACTAGGAACTATTTAGGCTGTTATCATATCATTTTTGACCAAATGTATAATGATCGATTACATTTTTATTTTGAAAGATAGGGAAAATGTTTGTTTTCAACCTGTGTCTTTTATCCAAAACTACTCCTATGTTAGATCTATAACACTCCCTCTTATTATTGTGGATCTAAAATTAGCTTGCATCTGTGTACTACTTTGCAGGGTATGACGAATACGTTGCGCATTGCGCATGGCATAATTGGAAGCTCTTTTGAATGTGTTTATATGTATGTAAGCTGATGGAAAGGAGGTTCAATTAGTAAACTGCATTCATTCATTTATATTCAATCCATATAATATATATTTTCAGCTAATTTCTGTTCTATATGGACTATCTGCAATAGGTGGCAAAAATCTGTCCGTGGGTGTGTGTTTTTGTCATTTCGCTGGCTTTAATCGTAAAATTTGTGAATTTATGCAGTTACTTTTGGCTATGGAAGTTTTGAATTTAATTTGCAGGTTGGGGGTGTGAGCAATTAAATAAATTATATCGTGTAAAAACTAACGTAATCAATTCTTGCTTCTCTCTTTCTCTCTCCCTTTCTCTACCTGCACTTTGGATAATTATAATGTGTAGCAAAAACTCTGATTAATTGAAAGTAAAGGCAAAAACAATCAGAGCTACAATAAAAGCAGCTTGCGCTCCAAGAGTAAGTGGTTGTCGGGCGTTGGCGGCGCACGGCCAGCGCTCTGAGCCACATTAAAAGCATAACAACAGCAGCAGCAGCAGCAGCAGCAACAACAGCATCAGCAGCAACAACAGCAACAATAACAACAAGCACAACTGTCGTCTTTTATAACATCAGCTTCAACAGCAACGCGACAGGCACAAAATCGAGCGCCAAACTTTGTGAACTTTTTGTTAATTTGCTTTGTTGGCCAGATCGCTTAGAAAGACGTACAAGAACATTCTTCAAGTAAAGCAAATAATAAGACAAAGTCAGCAAAAAAAAAAAACAAAAAAAAAAAACGAATAAAAGCAACACAAACAAAAAACAAAAACAAAAACAAGTTGAAGAAAAGATTTGAAGCAAATCATCGAAATGGAATTAAGCATCGCAATTGTCAAGCATTTAGCAAGCTTTAACAATAACATCAACAACAGCTACAAGAAATCAGCAGATAATTCGATTAAAACGGTATTAATCCGCAGCAACAGCGACAACAAAACCAACAACAACAACAAGCACCAACAGGCCGTCGAAAGTGAGAAAAACTCCAACAACCACAGCAGCAAAACGATTACAGCAACAGACACAGTAAGAGCCGAGCTCCTAGACAAATCAACAATAGCAATAGATAATATACAAATACTAACGGCAGCAGCAGCAGCAGCAGCAGCAGCAACAACAACTGCACCAGCAACAACAACAACAACAGCAACAACAACTGGTCTATTAGCGGTAACAAGGTGCAACGCTGAAACAATAGTCCACAAAGCAGTTGTCAGTCCATTCATGAGTGGCACAGGCAATAACACAAGCAACAACAACAACAACAACAACTACAACAGCACCAGCAAAAACAACAACTAAACCAGCAGCGTACGAACCAAAAATAGTGACAGACCAACCATTTACTGACAGTCAATAATCGATTAATACCAAACAACAATAGCAACGCAAGAGGCAACACCAGCAAATCAACTATCAAAGAACAAAGAATAGCGACAACTCAACCAGTAAGCAGTAACTAACAACCAACAACCAGAAGCAACAACCAGAAGCAACAACCAGAAGCAACAGCAGCAATTGTCAACGGCAACAACTAAATCAGCAAGAAACAACCGTCAACCAATAATAGTGGCAACATACTCAACAACGACTCAACAATTAAACCAGCCAGTAACAATCACCAAAAGTGACACCTCAATCATCAACAACTAACAATCGATAACCGATAACCGATAGGCAACAATCAAAAAAAATGCATCGCATACGTTCGACTTTTACGCGTTCGCGCACTCCGACGGGCGCCGAAATGAAAATGCAGAATAGTCTCGAGGTTCCCAAGCAGGTACACTTTGAGTTATCGATAATCTATGTTGTTGTTGTGCTATCGACCTTATTGTGTCGATTCGAGCTGAAATCGAATCGATTTTGTTGTGCATGTTCCAGTTTAACAGTGTCTTAATTGTGTTGTTGTTTTGTTTACTTTGGTTTCACTTGTCAATGATTTATTATATTAATTTTTATAGCGCTGCTATTATCGCTTATCGATAGTCTCTTATCGGTTAGCGTGCGCAGTTGGTATATTTTCAAATTGTTTTCTTAAATATGTCACAAACTTATCGATTACCGGCAGCATACTAATCAAGTAAAATGCTGCATGTTCGATACCTTATCGTTTCTGTGTCTCTGTATATTTTGTTTTGATGCCCTTGTATTGGTCCAACATGCACGCACCCCGCACCCCGCTTCCCGTTTCCCCCTCCAACCACCTCTTTCGTTTCACTGAAGATTGTTATCGATTGTTGTCTGGAGTCGAGCGCTGTGCTAGTGACTAGCTTACATTATCCGCTTTCTCTATTTCTATGCGCTTCATCATTGATCATCAGGTGCGCTCCGCCTCGTTTGATGAGATGCAATTGGAGACGCAGCGCTCCGCTGCGCATCTCCTGAAGCAGCAGTCATCCTCGTCGGCAGACGAGCGATCCTCGGAGGGTGGCTATCTGCAGGTGCCGCAGGCAGCGCATGCCCAACGCTCGCACAGTTTCGACTCGGCAGCCGCCTCCGTGGGCAGCGATGATTCTGGTGCTTTTCTTGAGGTGCCACGGCGTCTGAAGGTGCGGCGCAGCTCTTCGACGAAGACACCGCCGCCGTGCATCCATTGCCATTTTGTGGAGCAATATGAGAAAGAGATGACAGCCGAGCGGCGCTATTTTATTGACCACCGAGAGCTGAGCACTCTCAGCTATAGCAACACCAGCTCCGATACGAGCGACGATGATGACAGCACAGATGCCTTGGACGATGATGATGCGGCTGGTGCCTGTGGCGGCATGGAGATGGACGACGAAGCCGCTATTGAGATGGATCTACGCATGTCCAATCTAAGCATGGGCATCAGTATGCTCAGCAGCATTGAGGAGTCGCGGACGCGCCTGCCCCGTCAAATGCGTCGCCACACGATCGGAAGTTCGGTGACCACGTCCGAGGATGAGGGCATGGAGGGTTCTGAAAATGGATCGCCGCACTTTGGCAACACCCTGTTGCCACCGCAACCAACAACGCCATGTGGCATCACCTTCACACTGTCGCCAACCAATGGCGACTGTCCCCCATTTCCGGATTATGCGTTCCCCATTGATCCTGGCTCGCCGCCCATCTCTCCAGTACCAACTCCCACGCTTGTGCGACAGACCAGTCCGGTGCTGGAGCTGCCGTCTACTTCAAACGGATGCCAGCAGCTAAGCGCTACAGCTGCCGCAGCAGCTGCAGCACTGACGCTGCCTGCCATCGCCTCCAGTGGTTCTAGTTGCGCCGCCAGCTGCTCCAGTGCAGATGCCGATGATGCGGCCGCTGCCATGGGCTTGCCAATGGTGGGTCGTGGCAGGCGTCGTTCGATATCGCGACAGGAGGCCATCTTTGTGGAGCCGACGGGCAATTCGCTGGAGAATGTGTCGCACGAGGAGGTGGGCACTGTCACCAAGTCATCGGTGGACACCGCTGATTCACTGGAAGAGGCCTCCATAATGGCCACCTGCGGTTCCCCAACAGCACCCAACGCAGCCGCAGCCGTTGCCGCTGCCAACGCCAGTCATCATTCTACATTCGTTGTGCGGGATATTTATTTGACGGTGCCGGACCTGAGGCGTGATCGGGCCGCGTCGGTGGACTCGTGCTTCTCGAAGCTCTCATCCGGCGGCAAAACGGAGGAGTTGCAGCCCACAGGTGATGTCTGCTTTCTCACCGTGCCCAACAACAATGCGACCCGCTCTCGTTCCGTTGACATCGTCCTGCCCACCGATGAGCAGGCACGCTACAAGGCGCTTGCCATGACTGGAAGCGGCGGTGGCGGAGCTGCCGCTGGCCTCTACGTGGATGGGTATGTTTCTCACACACTCTCTCTCTTTCTCAATCTTTTTGTCAACAATTCTGTTTTAGTTTTTCGCTCTTTTCTTTTCGTGTTCTCTGTTGTCCTGTGTTCTTTATGTTGGTTTCTTTTAACACGAGGATTACCTCAAACTTCTGCATTCTGGCGAATCGCAAGCTATGAAAATTGTTGTTTTCTTTACAGCATTTTTATTATTAACTCTTAATTATTACAATTATATTACAAGATTAACAGCAATTAATTATTTTGATAAATTATTTTCAACTGAGTTCAATCATATATTAGTTGTATACCCATCGCTCTTAATACCTGGTATGGCTGTAGATATTTTAAAAACTTTTCTTTTGTGTAGGTTTTTCTTATTTTTTCGATTATTTCGACTATAAAATAATCACGCAATGGCAAATTGCGACAGGAAATTGTAACGGTTGAAGTCGTTGACCTAACTTGGTTTAAACTAGACTCTCTTCTCAGTCCCTCATTGAGCATGTTGCCAGTGATCTTTCATATAGGTCTAAGCTTGGCACCTTAACTGAAGCACCCAAAAACCAGATTTGGGTTTTTCGCTCAATCATGCTGAGAGAAAGGACCTTAACTTGGAACCCATTCAATTTGAACAACCCCCGATGAATGACAATGGCAATTATGGGATTCAGTTTGTCTGTAGGAGGAGTTAGATGGCAGTTGTCAGCCCCGGCACGTGTTGGCCAAGAGGAGCGACATATGATGCCAGCGAATAGAGGGAGAAGGCTCGCGGCTTAAGCCTAATTAGAAAAGAAGTCGAAATTCTTGGCAGCAGCAAGCAGCAAGTCCGAGCCGTATTTCATAATTCACACGCTGCGCACGGTCATCGATTCGACTAAAGCCGGCCCGGAATCCAGTCGAAAAAGGCATTCAACTCCCCCTGCCAACCAATTCCAACTATACACAGGGTGTTTCGGGCGGCGCATGCATAAATTATGGCGGCTGTTGTTGAAAAAGTGGCTCAGCCAAGCGATTTCCTTGAATTACAACAAAAGTACCTCATAAATAACATTCAAACAAAGTGTCCTGTTGCCCAAAATGACAGCTAAGTGAACGGGCCGAATGAGCGGACAGCCACACAGACAAGCGGATTGAACGACACGCGGACAGCTGACGGACGTACGGACAGCAGTCGGACAGCACCCGCTTCACTTTGAGTGTCGCCTGAATTTGGCCAATTGTAAGCGCCGGACGCGGAGCACGGGCTGGATGTGGATGTGGATGTGGTGGATGTCGCTGTTTGCCGAAAATGGTTAAGCCGTTGTGCAAACTTGCTTAGATAGATTGATGATTATGAGTTTTGTGATAGGCATGCAAGTTAATCAGCCTGAAAAAGACGCAACTTTCCTGATGGATAACCAAGTTAAGCGGGTTGGTCTTATTTTTTTTTTCGTTTAGCGTGTTAAGACTATCAAATAGTTTTTGTTCAGTTTTGCAGTAAGATATCAAACTGTTTGTCATATCAAACCACAACTGTATTAAGTGTGCAAAAATAACTTTCACCTCTAAAATATATTAATTATATAAAACTGCTGCCGGTTTCCAAGCTCAAATTATAAATCTGATCAGTTTTAAGTGCCGGCTTTAATTCACACCTATCGTGGAGTTTTAATCAAATATCATAAAAGGGAAAATATCTTTATTTTATGAATATCAATTAACTGAATGCTCTTGAGCCGACTGAGGCTTCTGCTTAATCTTTGTGACCTACAGTGTCTCGCAGTTAAACTGGATCTATAAAGATCCATTGCATACTGTTTGCTGTTAAATTTAATTTATTACTTAAATTATAATTTAAAGAAATCAAAATCACAACTCGCATAGTTCTACATCCAAGAAAAAGTCTACATTGCATTTATATAAATTGGTATTTAAACAGTGTTTGCTAAATATTCCATACTTATATATGTATTTCTTATATTGCAGGTACGTACACATATGTTGACTTTATTAATATTGCCCAAAAAGCCTCCATTTGCACAGATAAGTATCGAGCTGTTAAAAAAAAAAACAAATACAAAAAAAAAAAACAAAAAAAGACACTTTGATTTGTATTTACACACAAGAGATTTCCGTTTTAATTTCCGATTTGTGTGGCTACGTGCTAACCGGGCGGATGTTCATTTATGAGTGTATTTTTATATGTGTACATACATTGACATATTGTGTGATATTGCGATTCCTTTTTTTTCCTTTGGGTCTATTAACAACCTGCTTGACATTCGGCTTTAACCCCGATTCGAAGGCCAACAGCCATAAAGCTGATTTTAATACTCTGACACCTGAAGGTACAAGAGTATATTGGTTTTGTGCAATGTCTGTTCGTTTGTCCGTATGGATCCTTGAAACTTGGAACATATACCAAAATTCTTGGAACTGAAACCAAAATTCACAAAAGTATTTGTCTCCCGCAATCCAAAAGCCAAACTTGGACGGTAGATTCTGTGGCACCTGTTGTCAAATCGTAGTACCTACTCGTATCGGAGTATTTCGGAGTCGGTTACGCCCGACAGCAATGCTTATTTTTAATTTACGATGCTCAAGCGTGACATGTTATTGTGTTCCCCCCTCATCCAGCTACGGGTTTTATCTGCTCTCGTTTCGAGGTGGGGTGGCCTACGATATTTAAAGCCGCATGATATGCTTAAATTTTTGACCTTTTGCCCGATAAAATGGCAAACAAAAATTATAAAATCATTCAATCATGTGCCGGCACTCCAGGCAGCTATCCAAACGAGCCGATGAACCTAATTCAGTCTTCATTTTTTGGGGAAACATGCGGCTCAGCGATTCCGACGTCTACTATTGCGGTTTAGCTGTGCTTAGCTGCCAGTAGCCACTAGCAGCAATAATAATAATGATAATAACAATAATAATAACAATAATAATAATAATAATATTAAGATTAATAATAACAATAATAGAAATAACAACAACAGCAACACTTTATTTTTTATGACAATGGCGAAAATAATATTATAAGAAGCAAGAATGCCAAGTGAGATCGACTTCAGTATACCCTGAATCCAGCTGTCAAACATATTTTATTTATTTTTTTTCCAAACAAAACGAAGAAAGTTATGGTTAAAATTAAATTAAATCAAATTGTTCTGCCCGAGTTATACGTGAACTTATATTACAAATTGGAAATGTCTATCTCTTATAGTCACTGAGATTGACTTTATGGAGTCGGAGATGCGTCCTTCTGCCTGCTACATACTTTATCACAAAAATCATTATACCCTTTTCATCAATTTTTAATGCATTGAGGGTATAAAAAGGATTCCCAGAGGGACACAAGATTGAACGCATCTAAATTACGATAAATGCCAAAGGCGTAATGGCAATGTTTTGTGGAAGGGAGCAACTGATTGAAACCGCTGACCCGACTGATAACGGAGCAACGGCATTTAGTGCTGAGGCCCTGCCACAGCCCACCACAATGTTGGTGGCACATTAATCATACGACGCGTGAAACTAGAACGCCATTGTCTCACTGCTGTGCAGCATGCAACAAATGAAACTAGAGAGAAGCGATAGTTGAGGATAAGAAATACTATTTTATATATCACACGCCAACATTTTCTAGCTTCACTTCATACTGATTATATTGCTATATTCATATAGGTACATATATATATATATACATTAAATACAAAATATGTAGCTAATTACTTTCTGTAATCATGTATTATATATTTCAGTTGAGCGGTTAGGAAACTATTTTGCATCAAATACTTAATGAGCCGGCAAATGTTTTGATGGTTTCGCATCAGCTGTGCGTAATCATGTGATTCAATATAAATTATATTCGAATAATATTCGCATTTGAATTAAATATAGGAATGTTTCAATTGATTTACGATCGACATATATAACCCATTCATTTGCCATTTGCCATAAGTATATTTTAAGATTGCTTCAATATGTTAAATCAATCATACATTTTTACTGCCCATTAATTTGAATGCCAAAGATATAATTTGAGCTGATTTAGGCCCAACTTTGTTTGTTTCATGTTTTACATGCTGGTATCGGGTAGAATTCTAGATCAAAATCAGTTGATTTGGCTATTTTTACTTTTTATTTTAAATTGCATTACAAAAAGAAACTGATGAGTCAAGAATTGTCGGAGAATTCTCATATGAATAGCTGCACTCGGATTGACTGCTGATGGCCACTCAATTTTCGGCTAGATCATAAAAATATCTTTCGTAATGCTTTCGATGTTGTCATTTCTGCTGGAGGAGTTCCAGTTCCGGATTGCTGACGCACGCCGCACGCAGCCAGCGCAACAAGAAACAGCTAAAACAATAAGCTGATTTCCATTTTTTCTATACCCCTTATTCATTCATGTTGTTAAAAGTTGCTATTGAAATGCGCAAATCTAGGCAAATATTTGGTACTATAATTAAAACGTATATAAATAGATATAATATGCCTATATTATATTTGAACGTTCGAATATACTTTGTTGCGTCAAATATTTCATTTCACACTTCACCAAATTTTGATTGCTGATTGCCAAGAGCGCTTTAAGCGCAGCTACAGGGTATCTCGTGGACGGGCCCACTCCATCTCTTACACACACTTACGTGTCTGGCAACTACGTCATCAGCAGTCGTCAATCGTCGGTTTGTCAGTCGTGTGTGTTTACGCTCAGGTTATGCGGGGCGGTCAACGGGGGTGCAAAAAAGACAACGACAGCAACGACAAAGGCAGCAAAAATTGAAATGCAAATTGAAGGCACAAAGCAAAAAATGGCAGAGAACAATCAAAACCATGTACGAGTATTGTAGATAAAAGCAGCGCAGCGAAGCGCCTCGCTGCCAGTGTATCTAAAATGTCACCATGGAAATATGAAAGCAAGCACGAGCGAGAGCACAAGATCCACCACACAGATAGATACACACACACTCACACACACACACACACACATATACACACGAACACACAGAGCACATCGA